AACATATTTTAAGCAGCAATTTTTGCATACATCTTATCATTAACCACCAATTATAAAACTAAAGCAATGGTTGAGCTTATAATTCTATTGACATTTTAACTGTCTTTTATCAGGTCTGTATGGTCCTCATAGTGCAAAGAAGCAAAAGACCACCAAGCAATTGGTAGAGAATAATTTTGATATTGCTATTCCTCACACTGGATCTATTCCTTCTCCAGCGGCTTCCCAGATGAGTAATATGTCCAACCCCAACAAATCTATCAAATTTATTGGAGGTCGTGATAGGGGCAGAAAAGTAAAAAGCCTGAAGGTATGTGTTGAAGGTTTACTGACTCCATTCGCTTTGTTTAAAATATTTGTTTTAAACTAGAATTTGGTTTTTCTCAGATTTCCCCTGGCCAGCATGGTTCTGGAAATCCGTGGTCATTATTTGAGGATCAGGTTTTCTTTTCGTCATCTTTCATTAATATCGAAATACTGTAGGTTGCTCTATGAGTATCTAATATGTTTTCACCATATAGGCGCTTGTTGTCCTGGTGCATGATATGGGCCCGAACTGGGAGCTTATCAGTGATGCCATGAACAGCACTCTTAAAATTAAGGTAAGTGCCTATCATTTCAAAAAGAGTTCAGAACAATTGTGTTGGATATTGTTGTCCAGGTTATTGCTTTCTCGTGTCTGTGAATAACTAGTCTTTAGTACTGGCTGATTGATTTCCCATTGTTCGTCCAGTGTATATATCGCAATTCGACTGAGTGCAAGGAGCGGCATAAGATTCTGATGGATAGGAATGCTGGTGATGGTGCTGATAGTGCTGAAGATTCAGGGAATTCTCAGTCTTATCCATCGACTTTGCCTGGCATCCCAAAGGTTTTTCTTTAGCTATGAGATGCTTAACAAAGTGTCTTTTATGTTTAGTCTAATTTAATTGCCTTGGATATGTTTGTGATATTCAGGGAAGTGCGAGACAGTTGTTTCAACGACTGCAGGGGCCAATGGAGGAAGATACCCTAAAGTCTCATTTTGAGAAGATTTGTTTGATTGGGAAGAAGTTACATTATAAAAAGACTCAGGTTAGCGCACCTACTGCTGTGTTACTGTTTCCAAGCTTGTAACCTAAAACTAGTGGATATTGTCTTTCTGCATTTTTTGTTTAGTCATAATTCAACCGTTGATTGGCAATAGGGATAGTTCCACGTGTATATACTCTGTAGCATTAAGAGACGATATGATGGGTGAGAAAGTCCTAATTTTAGTTTTTGAGTCCCTTGTGGGGATAATGCTTAAGGGTTCTTAATATATAAACTTATAGCCAGAGAGTGTGTGTTCTCAGGGTTTCTGTGGTTTATTTTGTTCACGGAATTTAGTTTTCAAATTGCACTGGAGCTGGTAAACGTTTTTGCTTTTAGACATCCGGGCTATGGAATTTGAGAAGATATGTTTCTTAATTCAGTTTTCAATGAACATGGATTTTATGCTAAGAAAGGCATATCGCAATCACTCTTATTTGAGTAACAGGTCTGCATGTTTCTAAGTATAGCCGCAAATCCTGGCTAACATTTGCTAAAGTCACAGTGTAGTTTGAAGTATGAATCTTCTATGTCCCTAAATCTGTTGTCTTGTTGCTGTTTTTGTATGTTTGCGACTCTTTCATCTAATCTTCAAGAATGATGGTCGGGATCCCAAACAAATAGTACCAGTTCACAATTCACAAGTCATGGCTCTTTCTCAAGTATTCCCAAATAATTTGAATGGAGGTGTTCTTACGTAAGATCTGTTGTTCCCCTAAGTTCACATATATCTTGATTACAACTTTTGCAATTCTAATATCTTGCTACTCTCTGGATGAAGGCCTCTTGATATCTGTGATGCATCAACTTCAGGTCAAGATGTATTTTCACTTGAAAATACAGGTCTTCCAGTGTTGAATCAGGGTACGCCAGTGCTCCCTACTGCTGGAGCACATCCATCCACTCCTGGATCATCTGGTGCTGTTCTCAACAACAATTTGCCAACCACATCTGGCCTACAGAGTGCTTCTGTCAGGTAGAGCTGTACTGAATGGTTATTACTTCTTTGTCATGCACACGTCTGTGAAACTCTTTTCAATTTACTTAAGGGTTATTACTTCTTTTGAAATTGGATTTATTATTTTTCTGTTTAGGGATGGTAGATTCAACGTTCCTAGAGGGTCTTTGCCACTTGATGAACAAAACCGAATACAACAGTTTAACCAGATGTTATCCGGTAGAAACCTGCAGCAGCCTTCCGTATCAACTCCTGGAGCTGTCTCAGGATCTGATCGTGGACATCGCATGGTTCCTGGTGGAAATGCTATGGGTGCAAGTGGAATGAACAGAAGCACACCCACGTCAAGGCCTGGTTTTCAAGGGATGGGATCCTCAGCAATGCCAAATACTGCTAGTATGCTTTCTTCTGGTGTGGTAGGAATTCCAAACACTGGAAATATTCATTCCGGAGGAGGAGCTTCTCAAGGAAACTCCATGCTCAGGCCTCGTGAAGCTATGCAGCATGTGATGCGGGTAAGCTAATTGGCTTTTGTTTTCTGCTACACTTAGTTTTAAGATTTCTCACATGCGGGAACCTAGCGAAATTACCTATTTCTTACTTTACCACCTGGACTAATTTATCTCAGCGTCCTGATTTTTGTCAACCGCTGGTGGATTGTCATTTTGAACCTGTTTTTCCACATTATAAACTCTACAGTGACGATAAAAACTGATATGCATGAGTTTCATATGCAGGCTGCTCAAGGGAACAGTCCAGGGATCCCAGCTTTCGGTAATTTGAGTTCTGGATTTACCAACCAGACAACTCCTGTTCAGGCTTATCCAGGCCATCTTTCCCAGCAGCATCAGATGTCACCGCAGTCACATGTGCTTGGGAACTCGCATCATCCTCATCTCCAGAGCCCAAGTCAAGCCACTGGGGCACAGCAGGAAGCATATGCAATCCATCAAAGGCAAATACGCCAGAGGATTTTGCAGCAACAGCAACAGCAACAACAGTTTCCAGCATCTGGTACAATGATGCCACATGTACAACAACCTCAGGGCTCTTCTGTTTCTTCTTCTCCACAAAACAGTCCTCAGACTCAACCACCAGTTTCTTCCCAGCCATTATCGTCGATGTCCCCAGTGTCGACTTCTCCTAATATGAATGCTTTGGCACAACAGAACCCTAACAAGTCTCAGTTACCCCTTCATGGTCTAGGTAGGAGTCCTCATTCTGCTACTTCAGGTGTGAACAATCAAGCTGGAAAACAACGGCAGCGACAACTTCAGCAGCAGTCTGCGAGACAACATCCACAGCAGCGGCAGCCAACACAAGGTCAACAGCAGAGTAAACAGTTGAAGGGGATGGGTAGAGGCAACATGATCCATCAGAACATCAGTGTTGATCAGTCACACCTGAATGGTATCACCGTGACCCCAGGAAATCAGGCTACCGAAAAAGGAGAGCAAGCGGTTCCAGTTAGGCCAGATCAGCAGTCTAATGCAGGGACTGCCATGAGCACGCATCTGCAATCTAAACCATTCGTTTCTCCCTTGTCTTCAAATCATTCACATCAATTGCCTATAGCATTACCTGGTGCTTTGATTCCGTCCCAACAACAACAGATGCACTTACATTTAGATAATAGCATCCAAGGCCAGAGCTCACCTGCGGCCCCATGTAACATCTTACCCACCTCTAGCCCGTCAGTTACACCTTCCAACCATCAGCATTTGTTGCTACACCAAAAGCAGCGCAATCAACTGCAATCAACAGCTTCTCGAGTTATTCATCATAATCATCTAGGGAACTCTGAGTTATCAAAGAAGTCCCAAGCTGAACGTATTTCACGTGTTCCGCACTCTGTCACCAATACCACCCAAATTGCTAGTATGGGTACGACAAAGGGTATGCCTCAATCGAGTCATGATTCGAAAAGCGTAAAAGCAGTTGGTTCTACGGTGGTGCCGGCTTTAGAATCTCCATCTTGTGCTGCCTCTATGCAAAGCACTGCTTCTAAAGTAGTAAACAGCTCCAATACAGATTCAGCTGGGAATGATCCAGTAACAGCACCGAATCAAGGACTAGCTCAGAAGCATGTATCTGGTGGCTTGCCGAGTCACGGGATCAAGGCCGTCACACAGAGACAACAGTCTCTGCCTTCAGAAGAAAAGAGACCAAAGTTGTCAGAGATGCTGCCTGTACAAAATCAGAAACACCTTGCTTCTGAGCAGCAGCAGCAGCCTCAATTAGAAGAAGCACAAGTATCAGCTTCCAAGCCTCCTGATACGAAAGTGGAATGAGAAGCATGACAGATGATCCTTGAGTAGCTGTAGATCCTTCAAAGTTTAATGCTGGCTGGCCCTTACCATCAACCCTGTACAGGAACCCAAACTGGTTCGTCTCCTCTGCCTTCAGAGTCGGGTCCTCACTTTTTGGCACTAACATCAATCAAGTTACTGTTTAACATAACATTGGTTGAGTCCAGCCTATATAAACTCTACATATTGAGGAGTTTGCAGATTTGATAAAGGCAGAGCGGAGATAAATTGGGAAGAAGATGGTGGATAAGATTGAACTCATGCAGGTCTTTTTGCCTCTTTTGAACAGAGAGAGAAGGTATCTCATAATGTAAATTAACACTTGCATCATAGAGAATTAGTCTCTTCCTTCTTCTTCTTCTACCCATCTTTTGGTTTGGGAGAGAGTAGAAACAGTTTATAATGTTATGTACAGAAAAGTCTCTACTCCTCCACCCTCATTTTTTTCTTTGTTCCCTCCTCCTTGTGGCATATATTTAGGGCCTTTTCCTCTAACTTCTCTTGTAGGTTTAGGTTAATTTGATGATGTATCATTGTTCTGTCTCTTCAATCTCTTATGGTTAAAAAAAAAAAAAAGTTCAAATTGCTTCCAATAACATTGTCTTCTTGTATACACATAAACATTAGATTACATAGTTCATTTCTAGAATAGTTAAACACTATGTTACAAAAGCTCATCTTCATAATTCATTTCTAGAATAGTTAAAACACTACTATGTTACAAAACCTCATCTTCTGTTTTATTATCTTAAAATCAATCTCTCTCTAGTTAGAAAGAAGAATCAAAGGCATTGTTGAGAAACTGAAGAAGCTGAGCTTGAGAACTCTGAATCAAATCAATCCTTCTAATCTCCATTTCCTTACGAAGCTTCACTGTCTCTTTAGCAAACTCCATCTTCTTCTTCTCCATTACCATAACTCTCTCAGCAAACGCTCTAATCTCCGCCGCCACAGCTCTCACTCCTTTCCTCCTCCTCTCACCACCATCTCCGTCGTTCTTGTTCCTCTTCCTCTTCGAAGATCTATCTCTTTGTCCCCATGACAACAACCCTCCACCAACTCCAGCAAATCTGTTAACAGAACCAGGTCTTCTCAGTATGTAATTGATACTCCTCGATTTGCTCTGTCTCTCATCATCTTCATCTTCTTCTTCGTAATGATCCTCTTCTTCTTCATCTTCTTGGTAGTGATTACTCGAATTCGGAGGTAGACGAGTGAGAGGACGAGCTGAGATGGGAGCAGGGTTCGAATCCAATTCCTCCATTTGATTATAAAAAGGCCAAATCGAGATTGGTCCCATACTCTGTCTCTCAGATCGGAATCTTTTACGCATCTTCTCGATCTTATGCCTACACTGAGTAGACGACCGGTCAACGCCGGAACGACCCGAGACAGCGACGGCGATCTCTTCCCAGTGGTTTGTTTTGAGAGGACCACGGCCAATTGCGTACCATTTCTCTTTGTATGATTCGATTAAGAGGAAAGTCTCGTCGTGAGTCCAGAGTATAGGTTGGGTTTTTCTGGCGTGGGACGAGGTCGATGCGGCTAAGGCAACGACGGTGATATGCGGTGGTGGAGTAGAAGATGGATTGGTGTGTGGAGGAGAGGGTTGTTGTGTTTGATGCGGCGGAGTAGCGGCGGAATTAGGGTTTGAATCAGAAGGAGGAGAGGAGGTCGGCGAAGGCGTCGCCATGGTTTGGTTTTTTTTAGTGGAGTAAATAGTTTTGTAAATTTGGGAGCTTTTGGCTTTTATGACTTACGAGTTTTTTAAGTTTAACTCCGGTTCGGATCTTTGGGTTTTGTCTTTTCTGGCCCAATAAAAAATTTAGTATACCAAACCAAACCACTTTTTTTTTTTTTCACTCATGGACTGAACTGATGATCTATTTTTATACCGGAATCTTCTTCATATAAACTACAACATAATGTCACAATCATATACTTTGAAACCTCAAAACATGGTGGTTTACTGTTTTAAGAAAAATTGTTGACCGACTAAATAACAAACTAAACCGTATTTAAACCAATTTTGAACAAAAGAGAAACTAATGGCATTGGTCCAAATTTGTGTTTGTGTGCTGCAATGAACCAATTCCATAACCCCATCGTTAGTAAGATTCCTTAGAAAATGAGATCGTACATCGATATGCTTGCTTCTCTTTGTGCATAATTGGGTTCTTTGATAACTTTATGATTGTTATATATCAATGAATATTATTGTATTTGCTCCTTCATTTTGAACAACCCCAAAATTCTCAAAAACTAGTATTGGTTAATACAGTTGGTGAAAACATTTATTGCATGAACAACTTCAAAGTGTCTTATGTTGTACCTTTAGACGTTCGGTGTTTTTTTATTACCAAAAGATTTTGAGAAGACTTAAGATATTGGTCATGCCTTATAAATCTGTTATGTCCAATATGCTTCCTATTCTTGTCATGATTTGAAACATGTTTATGTTTGTCTAGGTTGACTAAGATAGTCATTGGTGTCTACTTCTTGATCAGTGAAAGAGATATGCACCAAGAAAGGAGAGATACATACCACATACGATACGAATCATATTGATTATCCATATCCTTATAATAACAAGCTTAAAATGGTAGTGTTAGAATTACATTTATTATCTATGTGGTTCTTTAATTTGTTTCCACTTTCCAATAACTTGAATTCTGTGAGATTGATCCCATTATTTAAACATCTTAAGAAAAGAGCCAAATCTAGATGAAAGACAAATTGAAGCCAATGTATTCAAGTTTCATTCATGTTACACCATAACCAAACAATATAGAACAACTAGTTTTCGATCTGTGTTGTGCGCGGAAAGTTTATAATTGATCAGATGCTTTATTGTAACTAAAAAATAACGGTAAACCCAACAAGATGAGGAAAAAGATTATAAGCATGCAATATGTTATTTTTGGATTTTATTCTTTCGTGAAATGTTAATAAAGTGATCTTATAAGATAACACATCAGTAGTTCTTTTATGAACATAGAACTATTTAACCGGTTCTCAAAAGTCGGTTCATTGTGATTTTCAACATGTTGTTCGAAATAACCAAATTAGAAAGAAATAAAATCGGTTTTATCTTGGAACTGTTTTAAAATCCAATAACCGAACCAAATAATCCGAGTACCGAAGTATTATTTGGGTCAATTCGGCAGCTAAGTTTAATAACCAAAAAAATAGAAAACCGAACCAAATAAACCGAAGGCCCAGGGGTGAAAAAAACATCAACGAGAAGCTAATTTTGTTTTTTTTTTTCTTTCTTCTTCTCCCGAGAGGGAAACCAAAATTGAAAAACAAAAATTGCTGAATTAGGAATCAATCTCGCAACAAGCAAGCAATTTCATGGATTCCATGTTCATGGGAGGAGCTCTCTCTCTTTTGATTTGAATGAAAAACACACAAAAAAGCTTAGAAAGAGGTGTGCTTTGGAAACCCTAGGAGAGAGAAACTAATTTTAGAATTTGTGTGATTTGCCCGAGTTTTGTGCCCTAGCTTTTGCGTTCGTTCTGTTCTACGTTCAATTCCAGGTATACTCTTAGCCTTCTCTTTCACTTCTTCTTCTCAAACCCTAGAGTCCAGCTTTGCTGGAAGCTTCTGTGAATTTTTTTGAACGTTTTGGGTTGAGTTCTTCTCTCATTTTGCTATGTTGATTCAGGAATGTGAACTGTTTGCTGAAATTTCTTCTTTGTGATACCTTGTTCCTGCTCTGTTAGCTTCGAATTGTGTAATACTTGATTGAAGAGTTCTAATAGTTAGTAAAATGTTTATCAATAAAGCATATTAAATAATATAAAAACTACTAACCTAGGAAATTTCCCGTTACACATATATCTTAGAGTTTCGTATTGCATTATTGCTGGAATGAGTAGCTCTGAGCTCTTGATGGTTTATGTTGCTTTGCTGAATCTGGTTTTTTAGAGGATCAGAATGGGAGAGGTGTTATGTGTAAAGTTCTCTGTCAAATACTAGATTCTGGGGAGTTATCTTTACTTGGGTGTTTCTTTGGATAGCGGTTCGAACAAATGGCTGATTTTATGTTTGATTCTTGACAAATTTCTTAGCATTTGTAATATGTTAAGCTACTCTATAATCTGTTATCATATGGGACTGTCTTTGCTTTCTGTGGTAAATTTTGTACTTTCTCGGCTATTTTGCATCATGGGAACATACATGCGCACCCATTAACCTTTATTATTTGTAGGTCAACATTTAGCTGTTATTGATTCTAACTTCTGCAGTATGATCATTTGGAATGCTGTAATTAACTTGATATATTTTTTCAGTGAAGTTAGAATTCAAATTGATGAGACATCCAAGGTGTTGATGCATGGAAGCGTTTCAGGGTATCTTCTAGTAAATGCTGAGGTTGATTCCATGGGAGGAGTTATTGATAGTGGAGGTGGTATTGGTGTCAAAACATCTCCGCGCCGAACAGCAATTGAGAAGGCTCAAGCGGAGCTAAGGTATTTCAGATTGAGACTTCTTGATTTTCTGCAATGTGTTTAAATGCTCTACAATTTCTACAGCTATTAATCACTTCCAGTGTGTAACAAAGATGATTGTTTCAACAGGCAAGAGTATGATGTCCGTGAGGAAAGGAGGAGAGAACTAGAGTTTCTGGAGAAAGTATGAATACCTATTTCCCTCTTTCTTTTTTTTTCTTTCTAAAAACTTATGATTACAAGCCTTTACTTTTATATCTGCTTTAGGGCGGTAATCCCTTGGATTTCAAGTTTGGCATTGCAACTTCACATAGCGTCCAATCTACATCACTCACAGATCAGCAAACGGAGCATTTTGTAAACAGGTACGCTCGTGTTTGTTGTAGTTCCCCACTAATTTCATTTCATTAGTTAGCTTATCATTATTTACCCATAACCCCCCACAGTGAAGTCAAGGATAGGTTTGCCCTGACTGCCTCACCAAATGGAGACTCTGTGGAGAGTAGCGGTAGACCTGGAGTTCCTTCCATTTCTGAACCCAATACAGCAGATAATCTTTTACTGTTTGATTCTGAAAACAAGTCAGTGGAAGGAGAAAGAAATTTGAGATATCCTAATAGGCAAAACAGAACTTCTGAGACAGAACGATCTTCCAAAGCAAATACCAACCAGAATACAAAAGAAACAGAAGATTCTGCCATCTTTCGCCCGTATGCTCGGAGGAACAGATCAAAGATAAATCGGGATCCATCACGGTCAAGTTCTACGGATTTAGTTCAGAGTCGTGCTGGTCTTGTAACATCTATATCTGTTCGCAGAGGATCAGTGGAAGGAAAGGGTTGCATTCCCGAAGCAGCGAATCAAAAAGATAAGCATACGACTTCCGTATCTTGTCCAATATTTGCAAATTCGAATGGGATTGTTCCAAAAAATATAGTTCCCAGCAATTCGCTGAATACTAAGGTGGATTGTGAACCTGTTTTACGAGAGAGTACTTCTGGATCTAAGACTAGTCTAGATGAAGCCAACATTACATACAGAAAAAGCTCAGCACATTTGCCCGTTGGAGTGTCTGGCCTTGCTGGGGAGAAGGCACAACTAGTTTCGACTGATACAGAGATTGGTTCTCCCAAAGCTGTAACAATAGCTGGCCAGGAAAATAATTCTACCCAACTGAACGGCCTAAGAAATTCCACGGGAGAGGAAGAAAGCTTAACAAATAGAGGAGCTGCAGGGACTAAAGGGTTAGAGTCAGAGTCTTCTCTCGCTAACAACGTAGATGTAGATAATGAAAGAGATCTTTATAAAGTGGACAAACCTGACTCAGATGAAATCTCTATGCAGAAGGCTTTGAGAGTAGAGGGTTTGCTTAATCAAACAGTTGATGAAATAACGAAAACTAAGATTGAGGATGAGACAGGTCGACCTACTACCATTATTAGTGAGAGCATTCCTGAGAAATTGGTTAAAATTGAAAATCAAAGTCACAGAAGTACAGCTGCGATGCAAAATGAAGAGAAAGTTTCTGAGACTGAGAAAAGGCTTCAAGATGGGTTGGTTGTACCGGAAATTGACAGGAAAGTTGTCATTTTACCTGAAAATCTTAGCAGCTCGTTGTGCTTTGAAATTCCTCAGGCATCTGTAGACACAAGTTCCTGTGCAGTCGGCGATAATTTATTGTCAGGAACTGACTTTGAAGCATTAAAGCCAAGCTCAAATGCAGTAGTGTTAGATACTATGAAAGAGGACTCTATCCTTGAGGAGGCACGGATTATACAGGTTTTCTTTTTCAACTTGGCTTGATGATATCAAGTTTTCTAGCTTTTGAATAAGTTGTATACCTATTCATCTTTCTATGTATGACATAATACACTAACAGACAAAGAGAAAAAGAATTGCCGAGTTATCTTGTGGTACTGCACCAGTGGAGGTCCGTGAGAAATGTCAATGGGATTTTGTCCTCGAAGAAATGGCATGGCTGGCAAATGATTTTGCGCAGGTCTGGTCTTTAACTTATATTCTGTATATCTGCCTGGAAAATGCTGCATTCTGTAGATTGTTATGCTGTCCACTTTTATGTTACTAGAATATTTTTCACTGCCTGTTCTGATTTCATTTTATTACCTTTTTATTTTAATCTTCTAGGAGCGCCTTTGGAAGCTGACTGCTGCTGCACAAATTTGCCATCGAGTTGCTTTGACTTGTCAGTTGAGATTTGAAGAACGAAATCAGCACAAAAAGCTGAAAAAAATAGCTTCAATCCTATCTAGTGCTATCTTGCAGTTCTGGAGTTCTGTGGAGGGTCCTGGGGAGCTGGAGGAGACAAGCTTGGGAATTGTTAAGGTATTTGACTGCCAAACCTTTATTAGTTAATCTTTTGTTTTGCGGGAATAGTCTTTGAT